AAATCAGGATAATTGTGAAATTTCATATTCCTATATTGTTGTGCAAGCACAATAAATGCGGGAAGAAATGTAGAGAGAGTTTTCTCAATCATTTTTTCTTCAAAGTTACTTTATCCACATAATCATAGTTATGAGACAATACAATATATTTTACTATTGAAAGTATTTAAATTTAGAAAATCTAAGATACATAAATGTGTCCAATCATGACATGTACATAAAAAAAAAATTATCTTTTGATGATCAAACCTAGATTTAAGATTCTTTCAAAGCTTTATTGGATCTTTTATTTTTAAATATTGATGTTGTAATACAAGTACAAGATGTCGACGAAGGAAAAGAAGTACTTTTGAAGAAATAGAAATAAGAATTGAAGTACTTACAGTAAGGTATTCTTCAAAAAAAATTGCATTCAATAATTATTTTGCAAATAAATTTATTTTTGCCATTTTTTTCCATAATAGATAATTGTTCTCATTAGTAGCCAATAGTGGAAATAGAAGGGCTTGAAAATGTTAGGATGTAGTGGTAATAGTTCAAAACATAGTAGAAGTAGTTGAGCATGTTGAAGCACTCATTATAAAAAAATCTATAATCAAAAATAGAAGTTTAAGTAGAAAAGGTTGAGTAAAATGCAACTTAAAATGTAAAACCAAATAGAATGATAAAATTAAAAGTTAAAATAAAAAATATTAAGAATTATTTTTTATTTTTTATTTTTTATTTTTTTTGTATAAAAAAAAATAAGGTTTATGATGGACTGTGACAAGATGCAGCAAGGTGTATCAATTGGTAGCAATCAATAACAATCTAGCAATTCAATGACAATCAATGGCAGTTTGTGGCAATATAGAAGTTTGGCAGTGTCATGATGTAATATGACTATAGAAAAATTATAATCAAAATTGAATTTCTAATTAATATCTAATTATCCAAGTTTATTTATATTTTGAGGTATCTAAACATGGCTTTTATAAAAGCCTCTTAGGTTATTTTCTTATCTTAATAATTAGTAGGTTGGAGATTAATTATTAATTTTACCTTCTAGGTTGTAGAAACTCTTCTACTACCTTAGAAAGACCATAAATTAATGAAATCAGGTTAGAAGAGGTAAATTATTAATATAGTTGGTACTAGAATTAAGTTGAGAGTAGGGTTGGGCTAAAAAATCCTTAGGATAGGATAGATTGATATCCAGGGGCCGACCGTTGTCGTGATGTAATATGGCTAACAAGTGAAAGGGTGAAGAAAATATCATGTTTTGAGGATCTCACTTCAAAAATATTGTAGCAAATTATCTTGGAAAAATAGATATTAGTCAAAGGGTAGAAAAATTAAAGGTGCTAATGCTGCCTTTTTACAAATTATGCTTCTATTTACTTTGTAAGGCCATAAATAAGGCAAAACAAGATAGATTAGAAAAATAAAGGATAAAGGCATATGTAGGGAGGAGTTAGGAGTGCAAATTAGTGAAAATTACCTCAAGAAGACGAAAGTTGATACCCAAAGAGGACTGGTTATGAACCTGGGTCGAAATCAGACCCCAAGGCACAAAACCGTGCTCTAACGGCGATTCAAGGGTTTTTTGGGAGATCAGAGAGCCAAAGTAGGGGACAAACTTGAGGAGGGATTTTTGAGAGGTGATTTTGTGTCGTTTGGATGAGTATTGCATTTTTGAGGGATTTTCAAAGCAAGTGATGTTCTCTTTGAATTTAGATCTTTGAGAAATAAAACCGGTTTACAAATTTTTGGATTTTGTGACTTTTGTAGTATTTTTACAAGTGAAAATTTAGAGACTTATTGGTATGCTTGTTGTAAATGTGTGTAAGAGATTTGAGGTCAATTGAATGGCTAGATCGATACATATGAAGGTTTTTGTGGGCTAAGGTCTCGGGATTTAGGGTTTTGAAGACTAGTAAGGTTTTCTTAGATATCTAACAATTTGCTAGTTGGATTGGAGAGATTCTTAGTTTTATCAATAGAAGACTTGATTTCCTATATGCAAGTAAAATTTGGAAGCAATCGAACGGTGGAAAAAGGAGATATCAGCACTAGAAGTTGGCATCAAGATTGAAGAAGGAGAGGCCAGCCGACATCCAAGCGGAATTTTGAGGTCATCGACTAATTGGTAAGTGCGATTTTCTTCAGAATTTGTGTGCTGGTTTCTAACTTAAACTCCAAGAAGTGTGCAAATTTTGAATTAAGATCAACAGTTCAATCTTTAGTTATTTAATTTTCAAATCTGTAATTAGGATTTGGTTAGGATTTGGTTTAGGATTTAGGATTTGATTAGGGCTTAGGGTTTAGGATTTGATTAGGATTTAGGATTTAGGATTTGTTAGGATTTGGTTTAGGATTTAGGATTTGATTAGGATTTAGGATTTTTTAGGATTAGGATTTGGTTAGGATTTGACCAGGGTTTGGTTAGGATTTGACTAGAGTTTGTTTAGGGTTTGGAATTTATTAGGATTTGTTAGGATTAAGATTTGTCTAAGATTTGACTAGGGTATATTTAGGATTTAGGATTTTTTTAGGATTTGATTAAGATTGGATTAAGATTAGGGTTTGGTTAGAATTTAAGATTTTATTAGATTTTTGTTAGAGTTTGACTAAGTTTTCTTTAATATTCTTTTATATTTCTTTAGGATTTCTTTGTGTTTCTTTTATAACTTCAATAAAATTTAATTGAGCTTGCTTAATGTTTGATTATGATTATTAAGATTTAATTATAATTTCTCTATAATCCTATTAGATTATTAAGACCTTTTGTTGCAATTTCCTTTTACCTTCCACAGCTAGGTGCTCAGTGCATTCTCAAGCAAGAGTTCACATAATACAACACCATTTGTATGACAAGGTCAAAATCAGACCTTTGGCTACTAAAATGACAGCCTAGGACAAAATAGGGATTCATTCAAAGATCAAAGGTTAGGGTTTGAGAGCTCGCTTGAATTTCTTTCCAAAGACGTAAGAATTGTTTTGAGAGGGTTTTTGAGGACTTAGCAATTATTATTCAAAGTAAGGGTTTGTATCAGTGGTTTGGGTTTTATTTAATATAATTAGGGTTAGAAATTTTGGCTAGTTCGTGCAATTGGCATGACATCTATGGTTGAAAATTTGATATTATTTTAATTATTGGATGTACTAAGTGTGTACAAAATTTTGTAATAATCTAACAGTGTGGTTTAGAGATATCTAGTTTTTAGCACAAGAGGGTTTTAGAAGGTGGCAGTTTGAGGTTGGGTAGGGTTTCTATGATATCTTAAGATCTATTGGTCGGATTAAGGTAAAAATTGACATGGTGTTGGAAAACTTAAAGATCAAGCTACATACCAATTTTGAAACAAAATTAATAGTTGGAGAAGGAGAAATCATTGCTAAGATTTCTGTTTCACTTTTCAAGTTGGCGGCCGAGTGACATTGGTACAATTTTTGGAGGTTTTCTCACAATCTGTTAGTTATATTGGACTAAACATTCTTTAGCAATTAGAGGACTTTCATTGACAATCGTATGTAAAATTCCATATCAAGTAGATGGTCGGATTGGATATTACAGCTTGCTAAAGCTCACTAATTAGGATTGGGATTTACAAGAAAAATCTAAATTGCTTAAATATGAAAGTAACAAGGTAATTGGGATTTATGTATGGTTAAGACTACTAAGAAGAGTGTTTTAAGCACTTTTGAATTGAAATTCAGATTATATTCTTCTCGTATGGATGAAACCTATTAGGATTTCTTTACTAATTGTGAAACATAATCTCACCTTCTACAGCTAAGTGCCTGGTGCATTTCAGAGCAAAACACGTAATACGACAGCGACAGTCAATGACAATTGATGGCAATTGATGACAATTGATGACAATAGGGTGCAATAATACAATAACACAATAGCAGTAACATGAAAGAGCAACAGTAGCAACAACAACAACACAGGATAGTAATAGCAACAACAATAGAAGACAGTAACACCAATAACAATAGTAGCAACACATGATAGCAACAACAATAGAAGAAGAAAAAAAATTGAGGAAGAAATAAAGAATAAAGTGTACATAAGTTTTTAAGAACCAAGATTACAACATAAAAACAATTGTGCTGATAATATATTAAGAATATTTTAGAAAAAGAGAGACAAGAGTAGCTAGAAGTAATATGCACACATATGTAAACACACATTTACAAGAAGTAAGTTTATTGATAGGGTTATATCTTTTATACAAAGAGAAGGAGAGAAAATAAACAATGTCTTTCCACTACATTTTGAACATTGTAGCTACAATAAATATGATAGACTATAGTAAATGGTGTAGAGACTATCAGCTACATTTAATACTCTCAATATGTTAATTGATATTTCTAAGATCATTTGAAATATCAAATCCAAATATCATAAGATACTTCAAAATCTCATCATGGATGAAATATCACCTCAAAAGGCTGTATTTGACAATGTAGAAAATGAAATGTAGAAAATGACACTTTACTTCGCAGAACCAAGAGTGTATCAATCAAGAGATGTCGAAGTTCACCAGAGTCTTACAATTTATATTATCAATGCTAATTAGATCAGTTTATCCTTACTGGTTGTAGTTTCCAAGTTGGATTTTCGGATAAAGTGATTTTAATCACTTTATCTTACCGCTGCTCCTCTTTATCCCCCTGATGGTTCGTACAAGTGACAATTTACCTATGCTAATAAAGTTATACTTCTTATACTACATTGTGGATAGAGAGGTGTGTAAGTGACTTGTCGCAATAACCTTATCACTTGCTGACTGGAATGTGCGGAACTTGTGCCAATTTCAAAAGATGTTATGCACGGAATCAAAATGTCAACGAGGACTGTATTCATGGCAAATGTTATTGTGTAATAGGTCTTTTGTCCGCACATTTCACTAAAGTTTCTGGGAGCAGTGACCCACGGGTGTCACGCTTGGAGCGGCGGCAAATCAAGTGGGGGAGACCTGAAAGAACAAGTTGGATTTGAAGCAGACGGATCTGCACCACTGGGTGTAAAAGACCTGTTGCTTTCCCGTGTCACTGGAACCAGAAAATGGCTCCCTGAAGCTTCCACGTCTCTCTTCATTGGAAGAGGTTCCCCCTCATTACCATCACTGGTAGAACCATTGCAGACCTTTCAGCATACATCCAGGTTTGGGGCTATTGTTCCTCAAGAAATTCAATTGGTGACACGGGATTCAGACTTGTAGGAGGATCTAGGCTTCAAAGAACATCTCTACATAGTCAAAAGAGATCTATTGCTTACGCAGCTTTGGTGCTCGATTTTATTGAAGAGCTTCTTCGAACATGTACTTTTGAAAAAATTCAGCACTGTTTGCAGTAATCAAGTCATGCTTTACGAGCGCATTATTATGTGCTGCAGTTGTGTGGACTGAATTAATTTTCTGTGAGTTTTTGACTACGATCAGCTCTTAACACTGTGTAGAGCAGCTGAGCGTTTTGTCCATAGACAATTATAGGTGGCAAACATGGAGATCTAAGACATGATTCAATGTGATGTTGATTGCAGAGATGGCCAGATCGAGGGCTGTATTGGCGGTTCTCCCAGTTGTACTATTGGTGTTGATACTCACAAGTGCACGAGGAGCAGCGGCACAAGACAACGTATCCGTGCAATGGATCCGACTCTTCATGCAGCTCTTCTGCTCCACTACAGGAATAACATTTGAGTCCAGCATCCTGATGGCTACGTTGAATCTGGCCCAGTGGCACGCCCTCATTGCATTGAAGAGAACGGGAGGCTGCACCACGGAGGAGGCTGTCGTCGCGTACGCATCCCGCACAGTACTACAAAACTATTTCCCTTTCAGCAGCGACGTTCTCATTGATCCTCTTCTCGATAGGCAGCTGGAAGATCTGCAACTGACCGCGACCCAGAAAAGGCTGGCCAAGCGTCTTGGTAAAGGTGTGGCTAAGCGCCTCATTGACAAGCGATCTCCTCTGCGAGAATTTTTAGTTCAGGAGGTGCGGAACGCTATCAAAACTCGACAGGACCGCCCCGGGCTGTTCGGCTACGTGCCCGGCACGCCACATAACGAGACCGCGCCTTTGGTTACTCACTACTACTCCCTAGAACAGCCCTTTGTTCTCCCCAACGCGGTGGACTTCGTAAAGGAATATTTGGGCGATTTGAAACCGCCCAAGGTGCCATCTAATGCGTGGGACGCTGCGTATGACAGCTTGGTAAATCTGGGGAGGATCGACTGGCCGGGGCGTACAGCAGCAATGAACCGCACGGCGGACCTCTTCAGCTGCTCCAAGGAAGAGGTCTCATTTACCACAGTGGGTTGCAATAGCGATATGTTCTGGATCAATGCGGCGATCAACTCCGTGCCCAAGAAGACCCCCCTTTACGACGTAGTCACGCTGCTTGCAAAGATGAGCGTTGCAATGCACGAAACGCAAATTGTGGTTATGACCATGAAGGATGGGTACTGGTTTTGGCGTCCCGCCGATGCGTTTCGTACTGGTGACGAGCGCCATGCCCCTTTTCCGAACTGGACTCCCTGGGCTTACACATTTTTTGACCCGGAGTATCCCAGCGGCACTGTGGCGATCTTCTCCACGGGGGCAACAGTGTTGCAGAGCTTCTTCGGCAAGAAAATAGTTCCTTTCTCGATAGAAGGCTCAGGTGTGTTCGGCGCCAATTGCGTACACACACCGGGGGCTCCCATCGGTACTCGCCGATACGACTCCATTCATGCAGCTGTGGAGGAATCCATTCTAGGCCGGATTTACTCCGGAGCACACTACAACAGCTCTACCCGAGATGGCGAAATTGTTGGCGCCACTGTTGCGAACTATGTGCTGAACAACTGGGCGAAGAGTACGCCATCTGGAGTGCTGCCTGACACCGAACACTTGAATATCTTCGTCGAGCTACCGAAAGAGCAAAGGCAATTCCTTCCTGTCCACTATGAGGTCTGAACATTTTGCGCAACAAATTGAAAAGTATTTGCAACACAGTTTATAGATATATCCTGGGGATCGTTGCAGCAACATCCAGCTGCTTTCACTTGCACTTCACGCATAGCTTTCAGAATGCAAATCAATGTTTATATATTTAAAATTATTCAGATTCGGTCAAGGCATTTATTTTAATAAAATTGACATGGACCTGGAAATTGCAAGGCTTGAAGGAAAAACACTTGTGCGCAGAACACTTGTTGAGGTGTATTTTTATGATTACATTCTTCTTATTATGACCCGAAATGGGTTTGTGTGTGGAGTAACCTCCAACGGTCCTTGTTAACTTGCTATAATAAGGTCAACAGCATCCTTCTTGTGCGCAAACTGAAAGGGAAGCTGCGGCATAGACCCACACCGACGAAAACTTAGAAAAATATCTTAAGATTCAAAATACTCCATTTCAGATACTCAAATTAGAACAACAGATTTCGTATCCGAGTTGTCATGCCACCTGGTCTTCTTTATTCACCGCTTCTACAATCTAGAGGGCAATCTAATAGATCTTCTCCAGATTTTCTAGATTCTCACGAGATCAACTCTGATGTAAATCCCATTCACAGGCTTCGTTATACAATGGAAGTGCCCCATCCAGAGCACACTAGCAAATATAGTCCACAGAGTAGCCACAGAGTAGCCAAAGATTCTGGATAGGAAACCACTCACATCCCTGACTGAGTGTGGAATTAGTGCCAGAAGAGTTTCTGCCTTTTCTCTCTCTAGCTGAAAAGCCAATTTCCGAGAAACTCAACACCAGTAGGAATATGTTGCAGTTGTCGCGATTTCGGTGATTGGTGTGTGTGTACACAGCAACCGTAGTATTAGGGTCAGCTTTCCCGATGCGAATACAGCATTAAATAGTCTACCGAAAATGGGATCCTCCTTCACCAAGATATCATCAACATGAAGATTTAAAAATAGTTGCTTTCCTGGCTTTTACATTGATCCGTATCCAAAAAATTGGTTGTGTTGCACAGTCTTTCTTAAAATCCAAAGCTCTCTGCCAAGTCCTCGAGGCACCATGAAGTGCTCGAAATGTAGCTGTCTTGCTCGCAATACTGAAATCTGCTTTCGAGGTGCAATTATGTCTTCTTCTCCGACATGTTTCATATGTTTGAGATGCATTGTGGATTGTTGGCTTTTTTCTTCAAACTCTAATTACTCCCAAGTCAGACGCAAAGTTTGGTTGTCATCGTAAGACCCAAACACATGCCTAACGTAGTCCCGCAGCCCGTAATCCCGCTCTTCGCAGTATCGACTCTCCCAATCGTGAGGCTTCACGGCCTTCGTCCCCAAGTCCAACACGCGATCCTTGGAGGCCCAGTTACGATTCTCCGTCCAGTCCGCGACGTACGTCGCAGCACGACGGCGAAACTTCACCTTGAATTCGTCCCATGCCTGATATTTGTAGTGGTTGATAACAGCCACATCAGTAGACATCAGCTTCGTCTCGTAACCATCTTGCAAGGTAAAGTGATGGATTACATTCGACAAGTTCGTCGCCACTGAATCCAATAGCACAAGCGATTTGTGCCGTTCGGGTTTTTTTATTCGGCAAGTGTATCCCTGCGTGATGCCCTGCGGAGGGGAAGCTGTGAAGCCAGAGGGCCCATAGTTATGACAAAAAATGCTGATTTGCCCCACCTTGGAGTTTTTCCCAGCTGCCTCATTGATAAACAAAGCGATTATCGACGAGGAAGTTGTTGTCGGTTGCAAATCGGGGGCTTGGGATTTCACTCCGGTTTCCAGAAAGTGCTGATTTGGAAAAAAGTACTCGTCAACATCGATGTAGAACATCCATGTGCACTCCGATTGCGCAGACAAGCTGCAGTGAGAAAAGCCTGCCTCCTGAGTCTTCACCCATGGCCATGGTTGCTTCTTTATATTGAAGCTCCTCAAGCCTTCGATCACTTCGTCGAGGTTGTCTTCGCTGTTGTTGTCGTAGAGGTAGAATTTCTCCACACCCAGGTGGTGGTTGTAGTGCACCCACTCTTTCAGAAACTTGGCACCGTTAAAGATCATAGTGCACGCGCAAATGTGATGAAGCTTGGGATTGGATTTCTCCCCAGCGGCCCTTGAGACCATTGTTGTGTGGAAAGATTCACGAGAGTGCATTGGACTGTAATATGCAACGGAAGCTAGAATTTTCGTCTCAACCCGAATTGCTACCTTCATCCCTACGAATTTAGGGACCAAATTTGTTGGGGGGTGGGCACAGCGAAAAACCTCTTGCGATTGCGCAGTTACAGGGACTTCAAAGTAGCCGCCGTAAATGCATTGAAATTTTTTAAGACGCTCTTGTTCAGCATTCTCCGAGACAGAAACCCCCTGAGGATGTTTAATCCCATGCACGAAGACAACCACGTCCCTCTCCATTGCAAATGCCTCAAATACCACCTTGATGAAGTTCCACGGCAATGGTTCCTGGTATTCAGGAGTGGCAGCCCCATGGCGAATTTTTTGTCCCTTATCGATTTCAATGAGCACAGAATTCACAACCCATACGAGATCTTGTGGTGGTGAACTGCAGAGAACCGCAATTTCATTTTTATGGAGCAGGTGCATGACAACTAATGCTTTCCTGTGAGTGAAATGCGTGGCACCTCCGTATTGGCATTGAACTCTCTCCTTGGCTGGAAACTGGATGGTTTTAGGCACGTGGATCAGAACCAGGACGTCGGGGTAGAAGCTGAACACATCTTTGATATACATTTCAAGGCTTGCCATTGTTTTTCCGGGTTGTATCTCCTGATGCCAGTGGGAAGGAATCTCAGAGGACACCAGGAGGCTGAGCACTGACTGGTTTGAAATCGCGAGATCTGCAAAATTGAAGGATAGAAGTCTATCATTTCATCGTTCGGTGATCACAGGCAACGATATTTAAATTTTAAGATTGTAACGGAAAGTAAGTCAATTTGCAATTTAATGGCAAAGTGAAAAGAGGGTGGAGAAAAATACAGTCAGAACTTACCTCGAATTTCGGGAATAAGTTCTGAATTGTCTATAATGGCTGCAAAGGCGAGAAGCATCAGAAAAACCCCCCAACATATCCTCCTCAAACAGGGACGCCTCTGGAATCTAAATTCCACATTCCATCGCTGCTTCATCAACAAAGGTTTGCCTGATTCCGAGTCTGCTGCAACCACGCTGTACCCGTTGTGTGCCATTCTATCCCATCCGATTCACCAACTGCCTTCCAGGTATGATCTGATTTATCAACAAAGATATGCCTAATTCGAGTTCTCCGTGTGTCGTGTTCCGCAGATTCGAGTCCTTTGTTCTTCATGCACCAGTGGGCGATGCAACAGCGGCAAGTACATGTTGACAGGGATGAAATAGCTAAAATTAATTACGAAAGTCTATGCCAACTGAGAACAAAGATGAGGGCAATTAAACTGCGATTGCATGGCATTCAACAATAAAAGAATCTTGAAATTTTAATTTTTGAGATCCGACTCTAGGACTAGGATTTTCGTGCTCGAGCGTCGTTGCTATCCAAGCTATAATTGGTGGCGTCAGGGAAGCATCTGGCAATCAAAACCGACCCTATAACCACAAATGTAACTGCTGGAAGTGAGGAAATCGTGAATGTGCCCCATCAAATCTCATCTTCCCCTGGTATCCCCATCAGCCACTCCCTAGAAAACACAAATGACTTGCACACAAACTCTGACGAAAAATGACAACAATGCTCCAACTACGAGTCATAAACAACACCAGTATCCGCTCATCACAAGATCGTTTCATTCGATCCAATCACACCAGAGCGTTACCAACCATGGAACAAACAAACTACCATGTCTTTGCAGTGAAAGATACATCAGTGCTCAGCACTGAACAGAATTCTCACTAAATGCAGGATCACAAAGCTCACTGATCAGACTTAAACAGGAGCAGCAAGTGATGCACGAAGGCCAAACTTCGTTTTTGTTGCCACATAACACCAATCGCAAATTCCACCCTCCCTCCCTCCCAAATTACGTTACTAATGGAACACCCTTTAATAAGAAAGTAGTTGATTGCCAGTAAATGGTGGGTCCAGTGACTGATTTCGTGGCAGGACTAATCGCACGTCTCATGCTTGAAAATCTTCTCACTTCGACGGATCTGTCATGACTTTCCGATCCGGCATCGATAGGCAGTTTCTTCATTTGCAGAGGAGGCATCTAGCGGGTAGGCAGGCAGGCAGTCAGGCACCCATCTCGCGCACAGTTACGGCAGGTCCCGTCGCTGCACCAGGGGCTTCATCTGCATCGCTTCCATTAGTTTGTGGTGATGAGAGTCTCTCGACCTTCGGATCCCACACTGCACGTATTTCCAAACTCTGTCATCCATCCCGCGACGTGGTGGGAGCAGCGCCGCGACGATGCCTTCACAGCGACTCATGCTCTTTGGGTTTCTTCTTGATTCCAGCTTTCTTTCTCCTTCACTGCTTCTGAGCCACTGTGTATTCTCTGCTCTCCACGCTCTTTGTTGAATATATTATATGCATATTTGTAAATGAAAACGTAAGAGGGATTACCCACTCTGCTACTAAGTGAGGGAGTTACAAGCAAGCATAAAAAAGGAATTTGTGGATCTAATGGTTAGAGTCTAAACTAGGCCCATGCATCAGGATGAGGGATTTGGAAGGACCGTAGGGCTTCTGCTTGTGCACATGTTGTTACTAGTCTCTATCCTATTAAAACTTTTGAACTAGGTTGTCAAGAGTGTGTGGTGGTTTTTTCTAATTTCCTTTTAAATCCTCGTCCAACATATTTTATTCTAGAAGGATCATTGAAATTGCACTATTGACTTTGATTTGAAGTAAATTTATTAATTGGAATATTTGTGTTGTTGCACTGCATGCAAAGAGTTCAGTGCAAGTGATTAGGACTAAAGTCTTAAGAAAAATTAAATGCAGAAAAAAAATTAAAAAAAGAAACAGTTAAAGTTTAAAACTTATTAAAAGCCAATTGAAACTTAGAGAGTGCAGAATTGGTTAATGAAGAATGCACACTAATTTTAAGCCTTCAAAGCCATCTTCAATAATGCAAAACTTAATGTAAGATGGTTTATTGTATTAAAGGATGTAAAAGCCATTTAGTTTAATTTCATTTCATTTCGTTTTTTTTTAATTTTGATTATTTATACAACAAAAAAAAAAATTGTGCCAAATGTAAAAAAAAATAAGATTTTTTAGATCTTGCATATAATCAATAAACATATATGCAAACTTTTAAAATTTAATATATATATATATATATATATATATATATTAAATTTTATAATGGTAGTACATCTTTAAAAAATGTATCTACTAGAGCTTTTAATTAAATAAACTTCTAATTTAGGATGCCTTGCAATGATTTATGAATCTTAAATTGTATATAATCCATCATCTTGTGCTAATTGTAATGCAATCCAATAACATTTTAGTTCCAATTTGTTTCATAGTAAATTTCTTTTTAAAAACAAATTCAAGGCCTATGAGCACTACAATGTAATCCTCTAAATTTGCACAAATAAAGAAACTTCAAAACCAATGTTCTTTCCTATTTACCGACTTAGCTAAAACTACTGCATACTTTCAAAAACATTTAATTAGAATTATGAAAGAAATAAATTCAATTCGTACTGCACAATATGCTAATGATTCTTCATATGAATTACTTAGTAAATATAAATTAATTTGAAATAACATTAAAAATATAAAATATAAATTTAACATTGAATAAGATTATTAATTTTTAAAAAAAATGGTAGTTAAAAGAAGACATCTAACCCTAATGTATCAACTAATTTTATGTGAAGTAAGTAAAGTATGATGATATGAAGAAACCATTACAAATTTCATGTGGGCTGTTATTTTCTACAAAATATATTAATAATTTTTAGTTGGCAAAATAAATAAGAAATTTATAAAGTAGAATAATATAACAGTCAATGCTACAAAAAAAAAACAGAAAAAAAAATAAAAAATACAAAACCATTTAAAAAATATATATATATATATATTTCTTTTCTATTTAAAAAACAATTAAACAATAATAAATTATAAAGATCTAAAATGGACTAAAGAAATTACAAATAAATAATTTGGTACTAAAAAAGATGAAAATAAGAAAGAAAATTATATGTTAATTCTTATATTATTAGATATGAAATAAATAAATAAATAAATAAATTAGATAAATATATATATATATATATATATATTAAAACCAAATAGATTATCAAGGCAAGTGAACTATGTCAAATCAACCTGTATGGTATCTTATATTATAAAATTAGGTAGTTTTGAATTCATTTTAAAAGAAGGTAGCAACCAAAGTTGGGCTACTTAATTTTTTCAAAACATCAAAAAGAAAAATAATTAAAAAATATAGAATAAAATTATTACAACTTAAAAATATTAATTTTAAAATTGTTAACATAGATTTCAATTAAATTAAAAAAAATTATAGTATCTCATTATCTTTATAGATTTTTTTTTACTAATTAGACTTTATTTTTAATAATTTGTTGTTTAAGAACTATAGAGATACATGGTACAAATTCTAAAAATTTATTTAGGTTATGAAACATAAAGAAGGGCATAGGAAACCAAAGCACATACTAGACTATTTTCTTCAAGTATATAGCTTAGTTTATATTGATTGGATTAAAATAATATTTAAATAAAAAATTAAAAAAAGTTACCATAACTTTCTATAAGAAGAAAATATCTTTAAGAAAAATTTAAGATTAAAAATTATAATAATAAAATATCAACCAAAATATCATATTTTCTTTATTATCTTTAATTTTCTAAGAAAATCAACAATTTCAACTTTATTTTAAAATATGTATATATATATATATATATATATATATACATATAAAGTATTCATCTATTTGAAATTTTACTTGGTAAAATCAAAATTTAAAAGAATAGTTGATTTGTTAATAAATAGTTGAGAAGGGTTTTTAAAAAGAGTGAAATTGATTGTTGTTGTTAGAGGTCTAATTTTTTTTTATAGAAAAACAGACCAACTTACAGGATACAATTTTATTTTATTAAAAAGACCTTATTATTGTAATTAATTTTTATACAAGTGAAATTTATTATATTTATAAGAATTATATATAATAGAAAGAATTATGATATTTATTCATCCAAGTTTCTTTGTTGGTTTAATTATATATATAATAGAAAGAATTATGATTACTTTAACATACTTAACATAAGCTTGTAGCTCTTAATTTTTGGAAGAAAAAAACTTCAAAAAAATTGAATATTAATAAAAATTAATTTAAGATATAAAGGGTGTAAGAAAAAAGAAAAAAGAAAAAAATTAATATTATGTTTATAATTGTGCATCTACATAGAGGATTATACCAATCTACGAGGTATACTCATTTTATCCTATGATAGATGCATTCCTTACAACTCTATAATCTACATCAAAGCACAATAGAGCATGTCCCAAACACCTACTCAAATTTAGCAAAATGTTAATGTACAAATTGATTAAAATTTGATGTTTATTTCTAATTTATTTCCACCTCTCTCAGTTAGTGGATGCAATAGAGTTTATATTTTTTGTGTTATAAAATGTAAAAGAAATTAAAATAATACAAAAAAGGGATTTCGGTGCAATCCGAGATGTGCAATTAAAGGAAAACGCCTCCAAATTGGGCCATGAAATGGACCCGATTACCAAAGCTATCGAGACACAGTCCAAAAGGAACGGAAGCTGTCACTGCTTGGCATCAATCTGACGGCGTTGCAGACAAGCCACACCAGAATTGATTTTCAAGCTTCAGGATGGACTTGATTCCTATCTCATTCCTATCCACGATGCGTAGCTCTGATCCTCTGTCCACGTACATATAATGGTATTAGATGCAGACTCCATTCACAACCTCTTGGGCCCAGAACCTGAATGTTCCCCAGGCTAAAAAGAACAACTGGACGAGGATCAGGCTTCAGGGTTTAGGATTTCAGTATGCATAGAGTCGCTATGGCATTTACGAACCCAGGTGAGCGGATACGTAATGTGGCTAACTAAATGTGTTGGGGTTGGCAAGTGCATTGTTTTGCACTTGGATGTGTCGTCTGAGGGGAATTGCGCATGCATATAGAATGTTATGTGTTATCTCAATTGGCCTCTTCTGTTGTTGATATTGTAGATTGTTGACTGTTTGTGTGATGAGCGATGTGTGTTCTCGTTTGTAGAATAGAATAGCCTCTTATGATTTACAAAGTAAGGATCTTTCATCCATGGATACAACTGAATTCTGCAGATTTGCGAATGGGGACCTGTGCAACGCAGGTTCGAAACAGGTGTTCGCGAGTACATCAAGTTGGTAGATAAGTTCAGTAAAGAATATATCCTGGAAGCGGAATGAATGTCCCACTCCATGATAACTTCTCATATAGTTTATGGACATGGGTGCTCACAGGGTGTGGAATGTCGTTGTCGATTCACAAAGAAGAGACCATGCTACGTTATTTGGCTTTCAGCACGTAGGTGCGCGATTTTGTGAGAGGTTCTTCGGAAAAGAATTAGTACAGATAAAAGTTTGTACAATTACAAGAGACTTGGTTAGGATCTTTCTCACACCTCACTCTTCTTCAGAGCAGACAATCCGACAGCAACACGATTCTGTTCATGACTCGGGATTCGATGATTATCTGTGCACAACAGGAAAGCTCTATCTACGTGAGTTGCCTTGCAGAAGGCTCAGGTGTAATCTTGAGACAGCGATGACAACTGAACTGGAAAACGTATATTCCATAAGGATATCTGGCACTCATAAATACGGCTTATGAACTCGTTGCAACCAATTCTTAGACGGTTGTAAAAGAAATTGAGAACGATGAGGAGGTGCCGCTTCTCATGCGTCTAAATCAAATGCAGTAGTAGTAAAGATGATTTTTTTTAAAAGTTACTGTCTGCTTGATACGATTGTTCATTTCATGTGCGGCGTGTTCATCTCAGCGAGTCCATGCATGGCCTCCAAAGCTAATGGAAAACAGATACAATTATCAGTCCGACCTTCCAATTTTGGATTCATTATTGACATGTTCCGATCTTGCAGTGTGCGGATTATGATGATTGAGTAGTTCTATGCACTACGTTTATGCAAGATCTACAGTTGTAACAACGAATCAAGATGTTCTTGCAATGCACAAGTTGATGACGGAGGTAATAAACGAATCATGAATCCATCACCAATGAGTTATTGGTGTAAATTTAAATGAGCTAAGAAACCTTTCTAGATCTGGGTTAAGTCGGCAACACATTTTTGTTAAATTCGGAAGTAACATACATAGATGAGTGTCTGGGTATAACTATGTATCACTATATATATATATATATATATAGATATATTTCACTTTGATCTTACCTCTTAGATTTCCACCAATAATGTCGGTATGTGCGGTCATGGTCAACATTCTGGGATCAACATCCGATGTGGCTTCTTGCGCAGGATTTGGAGTCGATGACACGAAGTTGTGAAAAGCAAGACATTCGTAGATGAAGCTTGAAGGTGAGTGTTGCAGCCATTGGGAGCAGCACTGATTGATACTAGCACATTCGATGTGACAGTCAGATCCAGTGGAACTGATGTTTCATGTTTTTCATAAGCTACCATACCACACCTAAATTTGTCAAAATTTGGAGTATCTGATGAACATAGAAGAGATTTGTGCTTGCTTTTGTGCTGTAAGTTGCTCCCCGGTATGGGAAAATAGGACAGAAATCGCTGCAATTGCAGCAGACTTGATCGTCGATTTTTGAACTTCTAAGCTATGTCGTGTGTCATGCTGAAGCCCTCAATCTCCATCCAATCTCCTTCCCACCCCATCCAAATCCATCCAGGCAACAGCTGCAGCGAGAGTTGTCCGACCATCTCCCTCGAACCGAATCGTGCGAGGGTGAGCGTGATGGCAGATTCTGCTCTGGAACGTGATCTGGTGGTCATCGCGCAATCGGCTGTGTACGATCAAAAGCGCGCGTTGGTGGAGCGCCACCCCAATGATGCAACCCACGCAATTGCTCTATCGTGTTCGCCTCGGTTAGCGCTGAACCTGCTAAGAGCATTGGGGCCCATCTTCCTGGTGGGTCAATCGGGCTCAATGTGTGGCACCATAATCAAGCAGGCTAAGGAGGCATTGGAGCTGTTCCTGAGATTCATCCCGTTCGAGAATCACTGCTTCTATGTAACAGGATTTGGCCCCGCACACATATCTCTGTGTCCCATGTACATGGAGTACATTATAAGAAGGCGAAGGAATCAATTTGTTTGTGAGGGTCGACCCTCTGGGCATAGGATCGTCGGTTTTGCATCACCTGATCGAGTCCTCGGCAAGGGCCGGGGGCGGCTATGGCTGCACTTCGGTGTCGAGATTGAAGAAAAGAAGGATTTTGAAACGATGGAAGCTGACGGAGTGTCAGAGGCTGTAGATCCAAATGCTAGAGATTCTAGTGAAACACCGATTAGATTGCTCTTGATAGAAACTTAAACATTTTGAGATGAAAGAAGTGATTTTAGTACAACCGTATCCTACGTAAATACTGATGTGCAGAAGATGATTAACAAGAATGAACAAACATAAAGGTCGTGTACATGAAACAATCTAAGAATTCTCGACCTTCCCCAAGGTGGCCAACCCACCTCCACCCAGCAATTCTTTCAACATAGTTCCGATCCAGCAAGCTCCATTCCAGATTCGACAGTTACGTTGCGGCGCTAAATTCTGTTACTACATGTCATCATAGTTTGATTACAGACTCAAGCGTTACACATCTTACTTAGCTTGAGAGACACGGCTCTACATAAATTGCACCTATCAGTAATCTTCTCCTAGTTAGCTTAGGAGTCACGGCTCCAGCTCTATTTAATTGCACCTATCAGAACTGTCCTCTTTATCAGAACTCTCCTCTTTGAAGCATAAGATGCTTCATGCTTTGTGATTGGTATAATAATATACTCACATTCATTTTATATTTACTTCATGTGTACTAATCTTATCACACATGATATGAGAGCCATGTGCAATTTTTTAGACCTTACAATCTTATAATTGGAAAGATTATGTCTCAACTTGGCAATTGAAGGATTTAAAAGTTAGATAGAAGAAATCAAAGCTCTAATCTTACAAATTTTACTCTTCAACATTTTACAACAAAATAATCTTAATAATTCTTTGATATCAAATTTGATTTTCTTACAAATATTTTTTTATATTAAAAGTAACTTTATAAAACCACCTTTATACAAATTAACTTTTCATACTTGTAAAACTCCTTATCCAAGTATCAATTAACTTTTTTATTGGAATAATTCACCTCTAAGATCAATATGTAACTTTCAATCTTCTTTAATCATTTGCAACTATTGAAGCATATTTGGTCATAAAATTCCAAAGTGCATAAAATAAAATAAACGTGATTACATGGATCTATCTTTTTAACTTGATAATAATAGTTTTTTCAAAAATAAATTACTATATTTATTTAGTATCATAATTATTAATCTTAACACTTATTCTTTTTAATTCTTGGACTCTAGAACTAATCAATGTATATGAAGGTAAAGTCTCTTGTTAATCCAAATTACAAAATATTCTCAATTAATAGTTACTTGTAATTGGTGGTATAAAATAGAAGATAAAATTAACAAAAAATAAAGAAGAACAAGATTTAAGGTTAAAATTCATTCTTCAAACCAAATTACAAGATAGCTTCAATTAAGAGTTGTTTATAATTGGTTGTATGAAGTAGAAGAAGCAAATAATACGAAAAAAAGAAGACCAAACAAAAATTAAGTGAACAAATGCAATCAAGAAATTACACTCTACACAAATATTAACAATCTATTCACTATATTTTTATTCAATAAAAATTAAAAATAATAGTTATATATATATATATATATATATATATATATATATATATATATATATATAAATTCTTTTAATATTATAATAAATTAAAAACTAAGTTATTTTAAATAAGTTATAATAATTTAAAGATAAAAAATAAATAATAGAAAAATGAAGTAAATACGTTTGACCTCAAAGATAACTTGCTTAAAAATCAAGGGCTTGAGCCTCACCAAGGCTCATAAGAAGTGTATATAGATTTTTTAGAGAGACTATGAGGCCTTAGTTTATCCTCTTACCTACATCCAAGGTGCTACAATCCATATAGAATATGTAAAAATTATATTTACCAAAGTCTTAAAAAAATTCTAATATTTTTAAATAAATTATAAATAAATTATTAAAAAAATTATATTTTATTTGAAATTCTAATTTCAATTTAAATCTAATTTTTTATTTTTATTATTATAGAAAAAAATTAAATCAACTAAAAATTCTATTTTATAAATAAATAACTAAAAAATATACAAATTTATTTTTTTATACTTCTATTATCTATTAACTAATATTTCTAGTTTTTTTATAAATAATACATGTAGATAAAAGGCCAATAGAAATATTGAATTTAATAATTAAATATTTAAATTAAATCAATTAGACTTTTTAATGTTAATATTATTTTATCTAAATAACTATAAAGTATGATTTTAAAAAAATTCTATCAATTAAAAATTATTAGAAGAACTCACACATGCAAAAAAAATTTAAAAGAAATGTAATCAAATAAATACAAAATCTAAAAATTAGCCATAATTTTTTCACTAGATTTCACTTAATAAAAATAAAATATTTTTTAAAAAAAAATTAAATACTATTTTTTATCTTTATAATGAATTAAAAAATATTTAAATTAAAATTATTATTAATAAATTATAAATGTTAAAAGATAAGAAGTAAAAAATAAAAAACTTTAGTGAATATATTTTACTTCAAGAATAAGTTGCTTAAGAGGTTTAGAATTTGAGCCTCAACAAGGCTAATAAGTAGTGTATATGGGTGTCTTGGAGAGGCCAAGAAGTCTTAGTCTTATACTCCTACTTACATTCAAGGTGCTATAATCTATATGGGACATATATACCTTTGTTCTTACAAGTACTACACTAGTTATTAGTCCTCTTATTTTTTTATTTATAAAATTACTTTATTTAAAATTTTGACCTTACCATAGTATTTAAAAATATCTAATTAGCACAAAAACCTTATAGGGCATTTAAATCTTTCTCAAATTCTTCATAATAGCCTCCTAAGGTGGTAAAATTATTTTCAATAGTCTTAAAAAGATGCTCTAAATATTCCTAAATTTGTTTGAATAAATTCTAAAAATTCCTAAAATAATCTTATAATTTTAATATCAAAGAAAATTTATTTTTTCTAATTTTTTAATTTTTTATAATAATATAATCTACTTAAATTAACAAAATATTTTATTTTTTGTATAAATAAGCAAAAAGTTATGAGATTCTTTCTTCTACTTCTTCTACATAGTAACTAACATTTGTAGGATTTGAATAAATAATATATGTAAATAAAAGGCTAGTTTAGATGTTATTCATAATAATTTAACACTAATTCTTACCTTTCAAACAAAATACTAAACTAACTAAGATAATTGCCTCTAAAATTTATCAAGACTCCATTTTTAAGATATTTTTTCTAATAAGACTCTTGTAATTCATAAATCCTTCTAAATTTTGATAAATATTTATATAATAAAATATATTATCTAATCCTTTAATTTTATATTTAAGTAGTTTAAAATATATATTTTTAAAAACTCTACCAAATAAGATGCATTGATAGAATTGACATATAACAACCATTTAGGACTATTTAAACTCACCTAAAAAACACAAGTATCTAGTCAAGTTATATTTGAAAAGTTCCCATTACTTCTCTATAAGCTCTTTGACTACAATATTTTTGCAAATAATTCTATTTTAGCTCTCTTACCTCATTAATAAGTACATTATTTCCAAAATAAATAATCTTCTCATTAAAGAGTCTCTTTGCAATAAAATTGTAGAACTTAGCAATGAACTAAATTTTATGATGAGAATCTTGATATATATTCTTTTATCACTTAAGTTAATAAGTTCAGCTTAATATAAGAATCTTTAATTAGAAATAATATAATATTCTAAAAAACACCAATTGACATGGAGTACTAGTCATTAATTAATAAAAAATTGAAAATTTGTTTGATGATTTATATTCATTATTTGTACAAAGTTGATATTTTAATTTAAAATTATCTAAAAAAAATCTTTATCTTCTTATATATATATTATTTTCAAATTTTTATAATAAAAAAGAATACATTACTTTAATAAGTTTTTTTTAATAATCAAAATAACTTCTTTCTATTTTCTTTTAGGCTTAAAAAAATTGTACAAACATCACATTTGCTAATAGGATATAATTACATTTTTTTCAAATATAACTTTAAATAAAGAACTTTATATCAATTAATTCAAAAGCCATAGTCAATCCAAAAATAACCATTAAATTTGTAAATTCTTAAAATCTCTCTAAGACCTTAAATAAGCTATGTAAGTCTATTACAAGTTCTTAAGTAAAGGATTTTTAAAATGTGAATATTATTTTAATGTTTATATTAAATGCTTTTGTAATTCTATTTTACTTTTGGATCTCTACATAAATAACTTGATATTAATATCAAATAACCAAAATATTTATTTACAACTAAATCATTATTTATCTAATATTTTTCTTTGGTAGTTAATTAAAAGATTAAGTATATATTTGATATTTGGATTTAACATAATCAATCTTACAAGACATTAATAATTTTTTAAGATAAATATATCTTAGATAAATATATAAGATCTTTTAATCAAATTTCATAAGGAAACTTTATATCTAATTGTTATACTTTTAGAAGCTTGCATTTGATACTCACATAAAAAAATTGATGAACTTATTACTAAAGAAAAAAATTCATGCAACAAATTTGTTACAATGAAGATCTTGATAGCTTACAATAACTTATCACTTACACTTGTAGGAATCTAGCTTTTCTACTTAATTATTTAGCACAATTTATAGACAATTTAATTCTAATACACTAGCAAGATGTTAAACAAATATTTTATTATCTTCATGATACATTACAATAAGGACTTACCTAATCTTGCATTGCTTTTTTTGAAATTTCTTTCTATCAATTATATGGATAGAAAAATATAGATTAAGTTGGCAACATTGATATTTCCAAATCAACATTGGGATTTATTTTTCAACTTAATATGTCATATCTACTATCTTAACAAAGCTAAAAGCAACCTATTGTAGCTTGAACTTTAACAAAATCTAAATACATTATTGCATCTACTGCAATTAAAGAACTTGTTTGACTTCAAATTATCATTACTGACCTTGGATTCTTTCTTTTACTCCCAAGTATTTTATATTGTAATACTTAGACTTGCATTGAATTTAGTGAGAATTCTAAATTCCATGATTGCTTATAACATATTGATCATTGATTTTACTTTATATATATATAAAAAAATCTAAAAATATCAAGCTCAAATTTGCTTCAATAACAACTATATGGAGTGATCTTTTGACAAAAATAATATTTAAAATAAAACATTAGGCATACTTATAAAGAATAAATAATCTTATTTCTTCAATTTGCAACAAGGAGGTAATTTCTTAACTTCTTTTTTTTCAAAGACTTTACATTTTTCACTCAATATACTACATCAAATTTGCAAATTAAAGACTTTAAGTTAAATATAATTCAAGATTTACAACTCTTTACTCTCAACTATGCAACTCAAGATAGTGTATTAATATATATCATCATAGTTTGTTTATAGATTTAAGTGTTACACCTCTTATTTAATTTAAGATTCATATCCTTACATAAATTGCACTTGTCAATGCTTTCTTTTTTGAAATATAAGATGCTTTATATTTTATAATAGATATAATAATATAATTATATTATTTTTATACTTATTTCTTTTGTATTTATATTATCACACAAGTTCACAGTTTACTTGATGTAAAAATACTTTTGTAGTAGCATCATAGATCTAAAATCTTCTAACAAAAAGTTATTACATTCACGTGTCTTATCTAAAAGCACTTGAGCATCTAATGATTATTTAAAAAACTTCCACAATATTTTTTGAAAAAACAATTTCTTTATATAATATAATTCTATTTATTTCTACCTCCTTCTATTTATTTTAGTAGTGCATGCATTTCTAAAAGGAGATGCTACAAAGCATAAATTGATCCTATACTATTTTAGCATGCCAATAATAACTTTATTAAATGACATTGGTAAAAATATGATGCATCATTTAAGATAATTCCTACATTGAGGCTAATAATTTTAGAAAGTTAAATTTTTTTATATATTTTAGATAATAGTTATATAAATTGAATAAATCTTTATATATTAACTTATAAATATTAACTTATAAATATATCACATGATATATATATATATATATATATATATATATATATATCATGTGTAAAATTATTAACTTATAAATATTCTTAATATTTGATAATTTTATCATCAAAATTTATAATATTAATATTAAAAAAGAAAATATATAAATTAGGTTTTATATTTATAATTAAAGGTATTATTTTCTTAATCCTATGAGTTTTATTTCAACAATCAGAATTTTTTTATCAACTGATGTATAATAAAACAATATAATAATAATAATAATAATAATAATATTTACTCTTGGAAATAATAATAATAATAATAATTTGACATTAAAAATTTTGAAATAAATATGCAAAACCATCTAAGCAATGAAAAAAAAAATGAATTAAATTAAATTAATAATGAAATTTTGACACGTAAAAAAATCAATTAATGTTTTCCTTCACCACATCTCTACTCACAAACTGACAAGTTGATTAGCATAACTGCCAAAGGCGATTTATTGCCGAAGCCTCTGAAAAAAAGCTTGTGGGAATAACACAAGCAACTTGCATTTTGATTACTCTACTGAATTTACAGAACCTTCTTGAAGTGGTTGCACTGAATAATGTACAAAAGGTGATACAATCGTGTCACTGTGGATTTAGATGCAGCAGAAAAGCATGAAAAGCATCAATCTCATCAATCAATGATGTATTCCAGGGTGCATACATCTTCTCAGCAGACTTGGTCTCGATCTCGAAAGGGTAACGGATTCATTACATTCTAGACAATTAGCTACTGTCATCCTTGACAGTGACTTATTTTGAATTAGTCCTAAATCTGAAAAACTCAATTCTAGTCGTTGCGAGTCAAAATGGAAACATCAACTTAAATGTTTGTGGCGATGCACACAGGTTCAGCTGCGGTTGAGGTAGTCACTCAATTGTTTGTACTAGACCCAGTAGCAGCATTCGTGAATCGGCAATTCTTTCGTATTTCACCATTTCGGTTGGGAACGCCCAGCTTTACCTTGTTCGAAGCCATGCGCACCAGTGCATTCGCGAATTTCATCTGTGGAAGCACACCTCGATGCTGTTCAGGGTCTTTCCTATCAACAAATTTGCACACGAAGGGAAAGCATAGGTAGAGACTGGCACAGCTTAGACTAGGTGGAGGTTGTGATTCTCACTTACCTGCCAGAATTGCCCGTTCTGTGAATTCAAGTTGGATGCGAATTGCGTTTGGTGGTCGGCGAACAGAACGTTGTCGGATGGAAAAAGAACGCGTCCCGTGACGCCATTGGTGTAGTACATGTTATCGAAGGTGTTGGGAGAGACTGGGTCTAGTGGGACTGGGTCGTTCGGATTACCATTCTGAGGACACAGTTGTTGCAAATGCAGGGCATAGTCGAAGTCCAGAGTGGGGTCCACGCCGTTGGTAGTGCCAGGGAAGTTGTACAGACGAGACGTGATTTGGCCGCATGTCGTTTTTCCAACAGTGTGGGCTCCTGCAAAAATGTGCAAAGTTTACTGATTTCCCTTTCTCTCAGCTTCTCACAATACGTTTACCTGGTGAACAATAACAACAATGGTAATCATAATCACGAATAACAATGAAAATCCTACACTGTAGTGAAATGAGTGGAATCTGGAGCAGTTTCCAAGTCACAGTCACGGCTGTTTACCAGATAGCGTTATCATATCATCCTGGCCGAGACCCTGTTCCAAGAATTTTCGGGTGAGCTCCGTTGCAGAGGATCGGGTTGACACTAAATTGTTGTTGGCGTTGTCGGCAGTTGAAACCATTCCATCCAGACGGCCCGTGGGCATATCGAAGTGCTGTCCACCAGTCTGCATTTGCTCACCAGTTAGTTTGAAATTCACATGATTAATTAAAGGGGTTTTGTGCATCGTCATTAGCAGGAATGAGTCGCGTCAGCTCTTACCAACAGCACTGCGTCGCGTGCCGCAAGCGCCACAATGTCGGCACAGGATACGGTTCTGGGACACGTCTTCTCGAGCTGCATCTTGGCGGCATCAATCACTTCATATCCTCTTACGGAGAGATTCGGTAACGCCAGTTTCTCCACATTTGGATTCTGGGGGGTGGGGTCCAGGAGAAGGGAACCATCACAACCCTCCACAAAGCAGTCATGGAACAGCATTCTGATGAGGGCGGGAGCGACGCTGGGGTCTTGATTGAACGCTTCCGTGACAGCTTGAGTGACGATGGCCTCTGCTGAGTCGCACCCCTTGGTCGTGTAGAAATTGTTGAAGAACTGCGCATTTACTGACTCCATGCCAACTGATCCTAGGGTGCATAATGCCAGCAGGAGTCGCCATACTCTGCAGCTAATTGCCATGCTCGTCCAGTCCTCTTATGATTTTTCCGTAACTCTGCAATCAATTTCAATGCTATTCCAGTTGATGTACACGAAACGTAAGCTGCTCAAACGTTCGCAATAGAATTTGTGTGTACTAACCGGGCATGGTTTGTGCTTGATCAATGATGCGAGGGGATTTTATGTTCAATTGAATGCGGAGCTAAAACTCAAAGGAGCTATACCATTGAATCGCAGATACAGACGCAGGCACGTGGCTGAGAAAGCCTGGAAGAGCTCGGCGAGATTTAGTAATTGGAGAAGCACCTGAAGTCCAGTACAATCAAGCACGATTGATTAATCCTAGATGGCAAAGTAAGATGGAGACACGGGGATACGAACTGCAAACACAGAAACTAGGGCAAGGTGATGAGTGAAAAAGCTGATGAATGAGAGCAAAGGAGAATAAACAAGACGAAGACTAAACGTACTTGTGAAGAGTATTCAGATATAGCTAGTCTTGAATGCTCGACTACTTATATCCAAGCTGCTTCTATATGCAGACAGCCACAAGCGCATTGAATGGAGATGGTGAGTTCTAAGCCCTTCAATTAATATCAAAAAGACTGGTGCGCTAGGAGTTGGAACGGCGGGGGTTCAGCAACTCAGCTTCATAATGTACTGTGGGCAGCTGCCAATGAGTGTCAATCTCCATACAGGTCTTCATCCTCCAACAAGTTCAGCCCCATTGAGATAAGTCCTCTTCGCATTTCTCACCAAGTTTAATCCAAGAGTAACACTGTTTTATTATGCATCTCAGTATTCTCGTCAGATCTCTATACCCTCCCGCTTCTGGCTCCCTTGCACGTTATTAAAACAATGTGAGCGCGAGAAGTTCAAACAATGCTTTTGAACCTAACCATTCCTCAAGCTCGATTCATCGGCACTGATGGTTTCTTAGCGTGCCGACCACGTTGTACCTCGTACAACTACTGTGAAAAAACAAAATGGGGTGCATCTTCTATTTCTACAGCTTCAGCTTTACTTCAGCTTCTGCATTTTCATGCGGCTTTAATGGTCACGCTAGAGGGACTTGTCAACAGCTCACGTATGACCACCACTTCCCACACACTAAGTGGAACATGAGCAAACCTAACCTGGCTCGGTGTGAACATACCTAAATGGAAACCTTCTGTGTGGTTATGCCAGCCAAAAACACACCCGATTGTGCAGCTGGGACAGTGACCACCTCATCGCTGTGCAAGAATTATGGAATTTGTCAGCACGTTGGAATTTGTCGATCGTGGGAACATGGGTCACTCTCACAAGTGGCTATTCACGCTTGTGGTAGGGAGAGGTGTTTCTCCATTCAACAGTGTGCCTGATGCAGCTAAGCAATAAGCCATTGAAAAATTATACAGTATTTTTCATGTTTGATTGCCATCACGAAAGGGTCCATTGCCAGTTGCATTCACAATACGGGTTCAAGGTTGACATTGAGTCGAGGTTCAGGTTTCAGTAGTTTTTAGAGTACCATATTTAGCATGAAGTTTAAAATGATAACCAACTTTATTAAAGATTCTACACAATATTTATACACTTGATAGCTTACGTATTCATTATTTAACAGGTGTTGCTATAATTACTTTAGGTAAAACTTATATTGATACATATTTTTGGGAAAAGATAAATCATATTCACATCACATTTGTATTATAGCAAAAAGTCCACAGATATGTAAATTTTAAGACTTTACTGTGTCATTGCTTATGTTAATTCTGTGATATGTAATATTAGTGTATTTTTAAGTATTATAAACCCAAAATGACCTAACATTCAAGAACTCCAAGTTCATCTTAACTCGTTCAACATGAAATTTGCACTTCTTTATCACAATTAGAAATGTTTTTTTTGAAATTAAGCTAAACAGAAATGAATAGATTCTTCTATTGCAGATTTCAATAATTGGAGCTCAAGGTTGAACTTTATGAGATATTTCATCGGTGCTCTAATTTTGAACATCCAAGCAGATGAAAAAACTACTGTTGAGAATTGAATGCTCTAGTTTATATTGAGACATGATTTTCTTTTTATCCCTCTTTCCATTTATAGCCAAGGGGTTCAAGGAGAATGATCTTGTATCAAAATGACTGAAAATCTGAAGATAACCAAAGTACATGTTGCCACTATAAACCAGATTGTTCAAAATCCTGTAAAATTCATCTCCAGAGAGGTTAATTCTTTCAACAGAATTTCAAATACAGACAACATGAAGAAATGTCATGATGTCAAAGGATACCAGTCACTTTTAGGTGTACAATATACAAGGAAAAGATATTGTGTTCAACTCTGTATAAGCAAATAAAAAAAGACTGGATTTCCAGCTCCAAATTGGTGCCTGGATAATAAAGTCATCAGCTTGTCAACGGTCAGCCACCAAATCAAACCTACCCACATTAGTTGGCCCATTCCATCAACATGTAGGCAAATATGCCAGAAGAATGGCAGTTGCCAGAAAACACTCCTCTGAAACACCAAAGCATCAATTTAAAATACACTGCATATCAGATTTGGGTGTCTCACATTCCTTCCACGCCCCGGTATCAAGTCAAAGCACGTGACAGGTAAAGCATCAAGCTCCTCTCATTCATGGGATAAGTATGAAAAAAATTGGACTACCTGGAACATTTACACACCACACCTAAAACACACCTAATTTCCCCAAATCACGATTCTAGACCTAATATATAACTATCACCTCTAAATTGCACAAGTATTAGGTCACTTCTTAATAGATAAGACTTGGTGGAGTCACAGAACTGGAGTTATGAAATAGATGATGTAATTGTTCCAAATAAGTGGACACAAAGAAGAATACTTTGCAAAGAGATGAACAGTTCTCGCAACCAGGATAACAAGGAAACAAAATTTGCCGGATGATGATTCAGAGACTTGTCCACTTAAAAGAGCACAAGATTGTAAATTTGAAGGAACATTTAGATTCAAATGGTGGTTCCAGGAGCACTAAGACAAGCCTGCAAGATCCATTTCATCGTCAGAAATTACATGCTCATATTTTGTCCCAATGGGCCAAAGGTTGTTGAGATTTCAAGGAAATCAATGATGTTCAGAAAAAAGGATGTCCAAAAATGTGGAGTTTATATTTATTCTAAAAACACACCAGCAGCTGCTACCCTTACGACAGCAGACAACAATCTAAAAAATTAACACACTAGTATACAAAAAGATATCACTATGACTGACGTTCTGGGGGCTTCATCTGAGAAATCTCCAAAATTAATCTAAAAAGCGGTACAGCTCCAATTGCCATAATCTCCGCCCGTGCTTGATTTGTCGCGTGCTTAAAAAGGGAAAGTCCAAATCCAATAAGCTGCTCAAAACAACCAACATTTAACTATGAGGATAAATGCATAGCTTCAATGTTGGAAGTTCTATATGTAAAGCTCGTTATCTTTTGAAGACCCAATCCTCACCCCAAAATACAAGATGAAATCAGAAAGTCATGTTTCAAAACTCCATCCATAAACCACCACAACCTAATACTGCCATGTATGACATCATGCAAAGACGTAGTGATGTCAAAGCTTTCATCTAAAAACAGGTGCAAATGCTAAACGGCTCAAGATTTGCGAAAGGTTCAGAGCCTGACCTCCATAAAATAAAGACGAGATGACAAGAAACCTTGCCAATGGTGAGGCTCAAGGTCGAAAAAGGCATCAAAAAAACGTCTAGTACCAGCCAAGTCAAGCTGCAGACACATAATCTTTAGAGTTAATGATACGAACCCTCCTTGCAAAACTTTTAGCAATGCTCGAGGACTGAGGAACCAAGGAATCACTAACAACAGTTGGTTGGTATAAATTGTCAGCAATATACGTCGATTCCTGAGCCCTGACTTTCGTAGACATAAACCAACTCTAACAGTGAGCTCTTCAGGCCTCAGTGAATTACAATACCTTAAGGAGGACATCCATGCCAAAGCAGAAAAATGCTCGCTGCCGTTGTCGATTCAATGGCCACAAGTCTGCCCATACACCTGCTGCCAGTTCATCGCATGGTAGACCCGACTGTTTTTCAATTAATGATGTCTCGAGCCCCTGTGAGGGTGTCGAATACTCCGCATGTTGAGAGGACTGCTGTCTGCTAAGGGCGTACGGACTTGCCGAACCCCCTAGTCTCTGTATTACGGATTCTGCCAACATAGGTGCTGCAGCTAGCGTCCTCGCGACCATGTATCCTGAAGCAATTCATTGAAAGACGAGTCTTCATATGGTTGAAATTCCTCAAATTCCACACCTAGGTATATTTACATCAGAAACTGCTTATGTTTTTTAGCAAATGGAAAAACTTGGAAGAGCTGAAAAGACGAGCGACCAGAGTGAGTACCAGTTGATGGGTGAACCATGCCTGCAGTTCCGCCGATACCAAGCACTCTTTGAGGAATGACAGGTAACACACCGCCCATAGGAATTACGCACTTCCTGGAAAGATCACAGAAGCAAGATCATTTTTGATTAGCGAGTCTGAAATCAAAGATGCCAACCAAAATTTTGAACACTATCTTTCATGCGGAGATTCAAGGTATTTTGCTTGGCTGATGCTCCGAATGTCCAAAAGAAGGGAACTCACTCGTCTTCCTCAATGCTGCGAACACAGATGCCTAAGTGTTTAAGACGCAACTCCATGCGTTTCTGAATAACATCCATCGGTACGCCTGGACGTGCCACCAATGATGTTTCCTCTGGAAAGCCAACACACACCACCCTGTTGGATGTCAACACAAACCGATACGAATGTTGTCATGCTTTCAGAATTCTAATGAAATTGTCATGCTTTCAGAATTCACAATTACATAACGGAGGATAATATGTGTTTCATGCATGCTAATACGAACACATGCATTTCGAAGAATCATGTTACCTCTCTTCTTCGTACTGATGCATTCTACCCCCCTTTCACATACAAGAAATTAATTGTTCGCAACGACGGAACCTAATTCTCTTATGACAAGAACACTAACCTAGAAATATATGATTGGCTGAAAACGGCATGGCATACAAGAAGGTTGGTAGCTTCAAATTGCCCTCCATCAACTCTCGGCTCCCACGCAAATGTGAATCTCGCCAATCCATAAATAGCATCTTATCCACGTCAAAAGGGTGGCTATCCACCTGTCAAAGTATTCACTGATTGATTAAAATTTGGCCTGAGAAACACATTAGGGTAACGCCTTTAGAAACAGTATTATGCAATGGATCTGCTACATGATCACCAACGGAACTCCAACCTTCTCGAGACAATTCGTACCCTAAAGGAGACGAAGGAAATGACAAGCGCGCGTCAGATCCTAAAAATATGAATCAATCTCATTCCTAGAAGATCGGTGACTATATCAACGCTTGTTGATATCCTAGACGAGCAATGTCTCATTAGATGCTGACATTTGGGAATCCAAGTCTCAAAGATGCTCTCTAAACGACAGTAATTAATTACAATTTGGATGATCAATGATATGTTCAAGCTACTCGTCATCAGGGATAACTGTGCTTTTGGTGCCTAAGCGTCATGACTTCGCCATGTTAGAAGTTTGAATCGCCAAATGCATTGATCAAATAGGAATTTTTTCGTTGATACGCGCTCAACTGAAGAGGTAACCCACAATTTAGGTGATAAAGTACGAAAATTACTTACCTCCGCAACGATTCCGTAAGCAATTTGGTAGCCTGGATTGAAAGGCTTGTCATACTTCACTAGTCGCCTTGAATGTCCAGTTGCATCAAGAACAACAGCTGCTTCGATAAGAGTGCCATCTTCACAAGTAACAGATGATTCCGAGAGATTGTGATTCACATCCTTGACCTACAGACAGCAGGCCCTTGTGAGTATCAAAGCATAGTTGTGCGGACAACGTACAGTATTTGCAGACGAGAATCTAGAAGGGAGTCTTTCTACACCAAACTATACCTACGAATTCCTTAGCAGACGTCATATATGTGTGGAGTGTTACTCAGTTATTCAACTGTGCACAACGTAAAACGTCTTCAGCTGCAGAGAACTGAGATACTCGGCGGTCATAATTAACTGAACATACAACCCTATACAGTAATACGTCATGCCTCATCACTCAAAAAAATGAAAAAATTGCAATATCTCACTCACGTTAAACGAATTCTTCAGAACTATTGACAAACAATTCCAAACACGATCATGGCCTTGGAACATTCATGCTTTGAAAATAAAGTGAAAGGAGCGAATATCACCTTGGCTTGGTGAAATTGAACGCCATTCGCAATGCAAGCCTCGAGCATTTTAGATTTCAACCGTGTACGATTAACGCGCCCATACGGCCTCTCGAGAGTTTTCTTCTTCTCGTCATCCAGGTATACAACAGCACTTGCCCAGGTGTAATCCAAGCAATCCAGAAGGTCTAGGTCCTCAAACTCGTCTACCCACACACCGTAGTTATTGGGCCATACACTCTGTGGGGCTGGGTCGACAACACACACACTCACCCCCTCCTTAGAAACCCTCTGGGCGACGGCCAATCCCGCAGGCCCAGCGCCCACCACCACCAGGCCCACTGCCTTCCTCTTCGCAGTGTCAAATCTGAGGAGCTCATAATTGAGCAGCTTCGTGGACATTTGAGGTGGAACAAGTTCGAGAAGGGCACTTGCCATGCACACGGATAGCCTCGTGCGCCGGCAATGAGCCACCGAATGACGTTTCCCAGATTTTAGCAAGGGGAAAGCTTCTGGAAAAAGCTCTTGGGGCAGAAGAACTTCCTTGCAGAGGGCATTTGGTACGGCTCGATTATTTACAGAATGTGATGTGGAGGAGAATCTCGAAAGTGCCAAACTCATCTCTGCCATTGCTACTGCCATTAAACTTCACACCTTCAATATCTGAAAACACCCATCCAATATCCGACTCGACCCTCGCCACGCAAATTTAACCAGGAAGCCTTGTCCAGCACCGAGTTTTACCGCTGAGTTCAATTCAACGCTGCGGAAACAACCATTGGCAACCACAACCCACAATCCTTGTCAATCTCCACAAAATCCCTTGCCGGCCATAACACTCGCGCGGGCACACACACATACAAACACAGACACCAAAGAATTATCTCAACTCGAGCGGCACAAGATAACCCAAATCACAGTCCACATTTCAGCATCACAGAAACAGGAACCACGCCTGATTCGGTCCACAAAATGAACAATCAGCAAATTAGAGAAATCCAATTGCCAAGCTGCTCTTACTCTTGCAGCGGCGTATTTCAATGAAGATTTAGCGCAACCTGGCTTTACTATACTTCGGTGTGTCAAGAGCAGATGCCAATCACATGGAAAACCACACAAAAATCCTGCGGAGGCAGGATTCGGAGCAAAAATCCGTGAACAGAGCGTCAGAGAAATACTGTTGATTAGCGCTATCTGTCAGGACAGAGAGCACGGTCTCACCCCCATAACCGGGATCCCATCACCGTGAAGTTCCTGACTTCGGGACCGAGCCGAATAAAACGCTGTTCCCACTTTATCCCTCTGATTGGACCACCCAAGATTTCTGATAGTCCCCGGCACCAATTGATGAGATCCCACTCACACTGCCAAAGAAGCAGCAGAGTTTTAACTTCACCCATCCATCCTCCTTGGCTACTTCGTTCCCTTGCACACACCACTCTCTCTCGAAATTCCCCCGCTCTTCTCCGATGCGTCTCGGTCATCGATACACAGAACTGTTACAGATTGTAGCTTAGAAGCTACCAGAGAACCCACAGAGGGCTTCCCTGATCTCCCATGAGCATCAAGAGCATATATACTTCGGGGCCGAAACGTGCCTTTTGTTGTTAATCCATCCTAATCTAGGCGACCAGAGTGTTTGTGGTAGCCACACGCAAGAGCTGCTGGAACGGGGACTGGAACGAGGGCAGAGCGGTGGTGATGGAGCTCAACGAGCAGTGATGACTGAACAGAAGGTAGATAATGGACATTTTTTATCCAAAGGCGGTCATGGGGGCAGGGCCACGTTCCTGGTGCGGAGGGATGGAGGGTAGAGGCCCACCGTATCCGCCACGTGGGCCCTCTGCGACCGCGACGTACTCTCGTAGCGCCAGAGCAGTTGACGTATCAACTTGGAGGCCATGGTTGAGGCTCGATCTCCCAACACCGTGGATGACGACTGAGGATGATGAAATGGATGAATTGACACTTTTCTATCCAAAAAACAAAAAAGTGTGTATCCCTTTTCTTCCTTCTAAAAAATAAAGTAATTATGGATTATGATCAGGATTTTTTTCTTTTTCATGTTAACATGCTTTTTAGAAAACTTACAATTAGTATTTTGGGATTTTTTTTCATTTTTTTTCGTAATTTATATATTTATTTGTTAAGTTTATTATTAAAAAGTGTAAAAAAAAATAATTGTATAACTAATAAATTATGAAGATGTATAGATGATGGATGAAACTAAGGTAAAAAAAGATTTTATGCATTGTGTAGAGAAACTCTTTTTGAGGAGCTTAGATCTATGGAAGTAGTATAAAGTAAAAAGAAGCCACAAAATAGACCAAATTATTTTTTTAATGTTAGTCTTAGCATGTCACCTTATATCATCATTTTAATATATATATATATATATATATATATATATATACAAAGAGAGAGAGAGTTGTTAAAGCCACAACCTCCAAACCATGTGATAATTAATTTTGGGAGACATGAAACAAAGGATGGAAATAGAGAATGGAAGACGGGGATTAAAAACGGAAGATAGAAGACAAGGGTTAAGAATAGGAGATAGAAGATAAGGATTAAGAATGGAAGATAGAAGACAAGGGTCAAGAATAGGAAATAAGAGACATAGAATAAAGGATAGAGATAGAATCATTCATGAGATAGTAATGTGGGGTGTGGCTTTATTAACATTAGGATGTAGCTTTAATAATTCCTTATATATATATATATATATATATATATATATGTATAATTACATATATAATTTTGACTTTTTGACTTTTTGTAAATACTACCTCTTTTCTTTGAAGAAGATCTACTATAAATTATAAAGTTCAATAATGCTTATTAATTATAAAATAAAATATGCTCCATCTCTCTATTTTACTTCTTTATTTTTATTGTTTATAGTTTTTAGATTGGTTTTACTAAGCATAAGTAAAATAAGTAATGTTTCTTGATTTTAGCCAATCAAAGGATTAAAAATTATGACCTTTTATCTTTTCATTTTGTTTTTAATATAAAATCTAGGCATATTTGTATGTATTATTCTTTAATATGTTTCTTATATTAGTACATAATTAATCTTTGTAATATATAATCAAAATCTAAAAGTTTAGTAAAATAATTTATTCTTTATATTTAATATGTATTATATTCTTTTTAATTTATTTATTAAAAAAATATTCTAAGTATATTAAAGTTTTTTCAACACATCAATAAGTCTATATTTTAAATATAAAGAATAATACTATCAAGTATAAATATAAAAAAATAATAAATATTTTATGCTAAAGATTTTTAAAAAAATATGAACACTCAAATATATATATATTTTTTTTATAAATAAAGTGAGGAATAAATTTATAGAAAATATAATGCTTATAAAATATTTTTATATATAATTATATCAAATATATCTTATACTAAGTAGTAACATATAATTATAAAATATCATTGCAATTGATTGTCATGGAGATATATATTTATCTTGATAATTATCTAGATAATAAGAATAGGTAGAAGTAAGTCAAAGTAGATAAATATGATAATATCTTGTAGATAGCTTCCTAGAAGCTTCATAGATGCTGTTTTATCTTTATACATGTCTATAGGTGATTGGTAGGTTGAAAACTTGGCAAACAAGGAGGCTACCTGTCAACATGTTGACCACTTGTGGAACAAATTAGACATATGGCACGCACTTGGAAAACTTGCTTTGTAAATTAGACATGTGTCCTATAAGTTGGATGCTTATTAGAGGTCCTATAGCATGTCACTACATAGTTCTTACTTAGGTAGTATATATAGAGGTAAGAGTGAGGCCTTCCTCACTCTTATTAATTCCTTTCTTGCTTTTAGTCTAGTTTCAAGAGTCTTATGTTTTCTAATCTTTGGCAATAGCTATTCTAATTCTTCCTTGAATATATATATATATATATATATATATATATATATTTTTTTTTTCTTCTATTTTGTTACTTTTTTTTTGACATAGATTCTATGAATTTATATATCTTCTTCTAGTTTGTGTCCTTACTACACAGATTCCACGAGTTTGTGTGTCTTCTTCCAGTTTGTGTTCTTGACAGATTGATAAGAGTATACGTACAATATGAGAGCTTTGTCCTTTCTTGATTAAGAGTATATTACCTCTTTCTCTTGATAAGATATAAGCATATTAGAAGTTGTAGATTACCCTCTTCTAAATTAATATTATTTTTTTTAAATTTTTTTCTTGATTCTTGAGTATTGTATTTTGTGAGAATAGACACCTTTCTTTTTTATTGTGCTAATATGGTAGAGCTTGCTAAAATGAAGAGTGCAATGGCTCAAATGCAAAAACAAATGAGAGAGTTAATGCTTGTAATGCATCAACTTAGTCTACCACTACAAAGAACAATAAGATTATTAAGCAATGAAGATTTAGAAATGATTGGAGTTACTTCAACATCGACACCAAGCCATACTACTGTTCCTACAATAGAATATCATTCAAGTTTTAAAGAACCAAAAATTGGATTGCTTGATAAGTTTGATGGTATAAGATCTAAGTTTTGAGAATTCATCAATCAAGTTCAACTAGTGATTGAACTACAACCTCAAAGTTGTCCAACTTAAGAATCATAAGTCAGGTTTATTTGAACACTACTTTGAAGTTCTGCTTTAATATGGCTTCCATCATTTCTTAAGTGATGTGATCTAATATTGGATAATTTGGAAGCATTCTTAGTAGAGTTTTGATTTATGTATGGAAAACATGATAGAATCTATGTTGCAACCAACAAGATTTGTGTCTTGCAATAAGGCAATCAATCAATGATATTATACGTTTTATAATTTTGACAATTAATGATAGATATCAAGTGGGATGATACAACATTTATTAGCCAATTTTTCTACGGATTACAATATGAAGTAAAAAAATTGATGCTGAATTTACTTGATCTTCAAACATTGAGTCAAGCCATTAACTTTTTTATAAAATGTGATTATCAGCTTTTTGAGTTTTGATTTGACAATCACTCAAAGGAACCTCAATGTTATTACAATTCAATGACGACACCAATGACTTCTCAATCTAAACATTTAAAAGTAGAAGACATGCAAATTAATGTAGTACGTTTTAAATCTCTTATCAAACAAGAAAAAACTTGTCGTCGTCAAGAAGGACTATATTTATATTATAGAGAAGCTAAGAACATTACTTAATATCATCCAAAGAAATGATGCAACTATAAAATGAGGTGTATTTCTGTCAAAGATAAAAACATGTCATAAACCAAATCTGTCTAGCTACAATAGGAATTGTGCAGCTCGAATCTTATACAATTCCTAATAAAGGGCCTATTCTTTCCTCGAAATCCTCTCCTTGTTTTACAATAGATGTACGTTTAGGATATAATAATCACAAAGCCTGTACCTTAATTGATTTAGGACCCTCAGCTTGTTTTTTAGATGAAGAATTTGTTAAAAATTATAATATATAGTTAGTACAAAAAACTAAATCCTTACATGTAAAAATCATAGATCGTCGTTTATTATTTTTTGGAAATGTTACTCATGAAATACTTCTTATAGATGTAGTAATAAATGGTCATAATAGTCATGTAATTTTTAATATAATTAGATCTCTTTCTAATCCAATCATTTTAGCTTTATCATGGCTAAAAAAGTATAATCATGTGATAGATTGGATTTCTCATAAATTTGACTTTTCTTCAAACATCATTAAGAGTTTTTTCTAATCTAATAGAAAGCCATGAGTTTAATTTAGCCAAACTTATATTTGTAGGTGCAAAAACTTTTTTACATTCTACAAAAGAAAGATCGTCTTTTGTTATTTATGCCATATCCATTTTAAATGATGGAAAGATTTCAAGTAAAATTCTAAATCAATATCAAGATTTTTAAGATATTTTTGAGAAGAATAATATAAATATTCTCTTGAAGCATCATCCATATGATTGCTTAATTAATCTTAAAGAAGGAACTCAACTACCATATAGTCTAATCTATAATTTATCACAAATGAGTAGGCTAAACTCAAGAAGTACATTGATGAGAACTTTGCTAAGAATTTCATATACTATTCAAAATTTCCTACAAGAGCTCTTATCTCATTTGTAAAGAAATAAGATAGATCATTGCAAATATGTCTGGATTATAGAGGACTCAATAAGATTATG